TCTTCTTCTTCTTCTTCTTCTTCTTCTTCTTCTTCTTCTTCTTCTTCCATCAGTTGTTGTATTTGCTGATAAGTAGCAAGCGCCATTTCTAAAAAGCAAAAAATTTCTCCCACATCGTCTTTCTTTATTTTGCCATATTCCTCTCTCAGTTCATCAGCAGATAAAGTCATTGTAAATCCTCTTTTTTTCCCTTCTTCTTCTTCTTAAAACAGCCAAAGATATTTCCAAGCTTAAAACAATTCCCAAAGTCCCAAAGTCATCAAACAGTCCAAACAAAGCACAAAGTTCTTCCCTTCTTCCTGGGTTAATATCAGTTGCAAAGGGAGAAAAAAAAGCCAATCTGTATTTTAAATTCTTATTACAGTAACTTCCAATCTCCAAAATCTTCCAGGCATCTCCTTCAACAAAATCTTAATATAAATTTTCCTTTTGTCCTCTCCCTTCCCATTTATAACAAGAAGCTTTAAATTTTTACCTTTTGTAAAATAGTAGGATTTTCAGTATTCATTTGTTAATTCCATGTGGAAGGAGAGTAAACTTTCACTTTAAACACTTTCACTCGCCGCTTGCAAATCTCTTCTGGAAACAAAGTATCTTTCAAAAAACAACAACACCAAATCTTAGATTTCAGGGTATTAAATGTATCTTCTAGTCCCAGTTCAGCCCAAAAAACTTTCGCTTCAAAACTTTCTCCTTCTTCCTCCAGCACGATCTTGTCCGGCTGCCGGCTTCTTTGTGGCGGCCATTGCTGACCGCCGCTGGACCGACTTGAGAAAATGAGGTTGTACTGGGTGGGGAAGGGGTCTGCGAACACCCCAACCCCCTGTCCGGATCCTCCCTGTCTTCGGTTGCCTCTACGGGGCAACCTTATCCTCCAGACCCGTCTGGGTCGGAGGAACCAAGAACGGCTAGCTCGGCAGGGATCGCAGAGATCGCGAAACCCCGCCGCCTCCGAAGCCTAGCGAAACCGGAAGTCTCTGCAGATATATTTTTGAAGTGCCTTTGAATGCCTAGCCCTATTAAGTATGCATTACTCACAAAAAGACTTGTTTTGAAATTACACTGTCATTGTCATGCTTCTTTAGCTGTATTTCCTGCCTGTTAATGCTGCTTCTTTTTGAGTAGTCATACAGAGAATTGGGACCCACGGCTAATTTAGCCAATGTATTTTTAACTATATATTCAAACTTACTTAAACACATTTTAAAAAAAATCTGATTAATTCAAACCAATCAAGATTTAACTTTGAGGAAATAAGGACTCCAAGTTTAAAGCCTTTTAATCTTATTCTGCATTAATTAAGCTGGAGGCCTGGAACTTGTACTGTACATAGGATCTAACTTGAAAAATATAATCTAGAGCAGGGATGTCAAACTAAAGACCCGTGGGCCGTATCCGGCCCACTGGGAGCTTAGATCTGGCCTGTGGGGCTGCCCTGGAAACAGTGAAGGACCGGCCCACAGTGCCTCTTCCTTCAATCCTCTGCCAACAACGGCTTCCTGCAGCCCTCTGGCAACAAAAACAGAGCCCAGGGAGGCTGTGTGTAACCTGCCCAGGCTCCGTTTCAGCCGCAATGGCTTCCTGCAGCCCACTGCCAGTGAAAACAGAGTCCCCCTGAGCACACACCCCTCAAGCTCCATTTTCGCTGGCAGAGGGCTGCAGGAGGCTGTCGTGGATAAAACCAGCCTTAATGTCGAGCTGGCCACACCCACCCAGTCATGCCCCCCAGACCCCTGAAGTCAAACACAGCCCTGACGCGGCTCTCAGTGAAATCGAGTTTGACACCCCTGATCTAGCATAACTATAAAGATATTCATTTTTGAGCTTAGAAAACTTTGTTAGGCCTACTGTCTAGAATAATCTTCACCCATTCAGTTTAATGTCACTGAAGTAATATATTGCATGTGTATTTAGATTGCAATGGTAATGACTTTTAAAAATAAATTATTATTTTTCCAGATGGAATTGAAAAGCAGCACGATGTGAACTTCTATGTGATTCTATCCTTAATGATTTCATGCTCATTGCTGCTCCTTGGAGCATTGTTGATTTTGCAGCATAGGTAAAGTGTTCCTTCATGATGGGCTTGCTAAATCTGTTCACAGTAAGAGAATATTACATATAGTAATCTATATATATAGTAAAATTATGACATATTTCCAATTATTAGAGTTTGCATTGTAGTATTAATTCTTTGCAGCAACCCAAAAGTTGTAATATTTTTTCTAATCATTATTTTGTTAGATTTATATTTTAGGTTCTGTTAGATTGTATACATAGCACTCAGTGGTGGGATTCAAATTTTTTTACTAACAGTTCTGTGAGCGTGGCTTGGTGGGCATGGCAGGGGAAGGATACTGTAAAATCTGCAGTCATTTGCCAGTTCTCCAAACTATTCAAAATTTCCGCTACCGGTTCTCCAGAACTGGTCAGAACCTGCTGAATACCACCTGAGCACTGCTTCTTTTATTTTTTATATAGGAAAGAAAGAACTGAGAGAGAATGCCTGTTATAAAACCATAGAGTAAGTCTTCATAGCTGAGGGTAGCCTTGAACCAGGATCTCCCAGGTCCTGGTTCACGTTAGACACTGCACTAAATTTGCTTTTGCTTATCCTTCTAACCAAATCAATTCATTATCTGCATTTTTTCAGGATAAAGAAATTATTGTGGGTGGATGTCCCAAACCCAAAGAATTGTTCCTGGGCACAAGGAGTTAATTTCCAAAAGGTATGGAATTCTATTTTTATGCATTTCATTGTTATATGTTACTTGGAAATTGAGACCGATTATTACCATTAAATTACTAATGGGTTTTCAGATACACTGATAAAAATAAATCCACCTGAGTAGATATCCCTTCATAGATAGATATACATGTACATTCTTAAAAAAATCCTTCCAGTTTTTTATTATTATTACTATTATACAAGCTCCAGTGCTCAAAATAAAATATATGCTATATAAAGATTCCATGTTCTGCTAGGACAATATGCCACAAACATTCAACATTTCTATTGGAACCATGGATTTCAATCATTAGGACATTGTCTAAGAAAACTGGTCATTCTGACAGGTCAAAATGTCTACAAAGCATTATGAATGTATCTAATCCACTTATCCCCATCTCATCCCTCTCTGTACAACTTTCTGTACATTTCTTGATTCTTATGTGGTACAAATGGCAGTTTTATTAATTTACCATTATATACTTTGTGTGCAAAACTATAAAAGTTGAATTAAATGTTTTAATAGGTAGAAAAAAAAACATTTGGGGAAATGATTTTTTTTAAAAAATGAATACATAATTTTCAGTTTTCATTTCCATTAAAACTTTACTTTCTCATCTTTATTGTTAATTTTATTTCATTTCATTTAAACAGAGAATGGACATTCTTTGAAGTCTAATCTTGGTCACTGCCCGCTGAACCATTGTTCCAGCTCCCAGACTTCCTTTACAAGTTGTTAGAAGAATTATCTATTTGAATTCAGAAGACAGAATTACTTTCCAATCATTTCATTGTCTGCTGACTTTGTTCGTACATAATAGTGTTGGAAATAATTTTGTACAAAGGTTATATTAATGGTACATCATTCTAAGAATACTATTTTTCAGTAAGGACAGGTTTTGTTGTGCAAGAGGAACACTTGAGAATTTAAGGACAGTGGGTACTATGTTATATTCCTTAATATATTAAGTTCCCCTAGAAAACTCTGATTAAGTAACCTAAACTCAAAGAATAGTCTGGGCAACCTATCTTTATGACTGGGCTGAATGAATAAAGCTGGCATTATGTGGTAGTTGGGGAATGTTCCCAGCACCTGATTTAGAATGACAGGTATAGTTATAAAGCATCATATTCTTAAAGCCAGCAATATCAAGGTTTCTTTAATTCTACACATTTCCCTAAAATTATTTTGTTTTCTAAATAAGCAGGTGCTTATTATGGAACATGTTTCTTACTTGAAGCATCATATGCTGAATCTTTATAAGCAATTAGTACAAAACAGCCAAATATTTGTACCCAAGACACACTCAGTGTAAGAGTTTTTTCCTGATTATAGGTAGTCCTCAACCTAATAACAATTCATTTAGTGATTATTCGAACTTACAACGGCACTGAAAAAAGTGACTTATGACCATTTTTCACACTTATTGTCGCAACCTCCATGGTCACATGACTTACATTCAAATCCTTGACAACTGGTTCGCATTTATGACAGTTGCAGTGTCGCAGGGTCATGTGACCATCTTTTGTGAGCTTTTGACAAGCAAAGTCAATGGGGAAGTCAAATTTACTTAACAACCGTGTTACTAATTTAACAATTGCAGTGATTCACTTAACAAATGTGGCTAGAAAAGTCATAAAATGGGGCAAAACGTACTTAACAAATTTCTCACTTAGCAACATAAATTCTGGGCTCAATTGTTGTAAGTCAAGGACTACCTGTAATTTAGTCTCTCCATTTCACATTTGCTGCACCAGTTTGAAAGCTGCTCTGGATCTCCATATTGTCATTGTGTCAACAGGGTTGGAGAATTTAGCTTATTATTTTCCTGTGAGAGGAAACATTTACCTCATCTCTCCTTCTGATTCCTAACAGAAATTAGTTACAAAGGGAATGCTGGCTTAATGATTTTGCAGCAAATAAACAAATATGACATTGACAAGAGATTAATCAGATTTCCTCTCCAGCCCAGATGGAAAATGCCTGCAAAGCACTGGAGGATTGAAGCAGCTTCGCCATGGCAGTACTTGTGCCTCATATTAGCAGAAGGGAAGACAGTTATGCCTACAAATTGCTTCAGGGGGCTTTGCAAGTGAGAACAGTGATGACTTTGATGTGCCTTTAGTTGAATTGTGCCAAGAAGCAGGGAAGAATAGAGTAAACTGTTTTAGACAGAAGAGACAATGAAAATTATTATCAGGAAAAATAATCCTATTTAGTTTCTTTTAAAGTGTGGGTAAATGGCCTTCTGAAATTCTTCCTTTATTTGTAATGGGGGAGAATCATTTTATCTGATGTTCTAATAAAAGTGAAATTGTATAATAATGTTACTGGCTCTATGCCAGTGGTCTCCAACCTTTCCAACTCAGTAGACAAGCAAAAATGGTGGCAGGGTGGCAGGGTGGGAGAAGAGGGGATGTTTCGTGTGGGTGCATTGCTTTCACAAATTAAGTGGTGCATGCACACGCTTGCCCACCACTTCCACAGTCCTGTTCCAAAGCACTGCAGCTAAGCACTGGGCTGCAGGCTGCGGGCCCAGGGCTAGGGGACCCCTCCTTTATGCAACATGACATCATTTGGTGTTTCAGAAGGTCATGAACTTTGCATCGTTTCTGATTACTGTTGGTAAAAGCTACTATAAAAAGTTACAAATTGTACTATGGCATTCATTACAAAGTGACTTTCCCCCCCTAAAATGATTAGGTATGGGGATAAAGGCCAAAAGACTGAGTTATCTATTCTAGTTAGTAGAAACTGTCCCTGAGATTACAGTCATAGAATGGGAAACAAGAAATTCAATAGAATAGAACTGCTACTTAAAATTCTATTAAAATGCACTCAAGTTTCATATGCTAATGGAATATTTTATATTCTATGAATTTTCAATCTTAATATAGCAGAAAGTTTGAAAACTGAGAAATATTTAAAAGCTTATTTAGGAGGTACAAACTTATACTGTCTATTTTCATGCTAAACGCAATACATTCAAGGGCCATGTAGCTTTTGCCAAGACTATTCTACTACATTTAATGTCATATTCAAAGTATTTTTGAAATGAAAATTACGTACATTCTGAAAGCTTTATTTCTGAACATTTTAGCTTTTATTTAGTCTAATTCCAGTGATAATTTTATATTCTTTTTAGCTCATCTATTTCATTAGAATGCTATCATATAAAAAGGAAGTGTTGATAATGAACAGAATGACATATAAATGAACAGGATTTTCCTTGTCCTGATTTCTAATTTGTTCAGGGCACCTGGAACAGAACTGTATATTTTGAAGTAACTTCCTAAAGCTATGAAAGTAAAATTAATAAACTATTTATCAAAGGACAAGTATTTTTCCTAATTGGGACACAATATTGATTATCAGATGAATGATAGAAACTCAATACAGTCTTTTGTCCATTCTCATGTTTTAGCAAACTTGACAAACACAAGAGGCAGACCACCAGCAAATCATAGGAAATAGGAACTCTATCCTTATTTTTAGGAGAAAAAAAATGAATAGATCTCTGCTGTTTGCTGGTGCCATTCTACTTGTTGTTTTAACCAGTCAGTCATGTTAAACTCTTGGTGACTTTATAGGCAAGTGTTCTCCATGCCCTTCTATTAGAAAGACAGAAAAACCTAGTCTGGATATTATAATTCCAAATTATAAAAAATGCAGCATAAACAAGAACAACAGAAATTATTCCGTGATAAATATTTGACAAATTCAGGAGGATAGTTTCTGGAATTTTCTCTGAACCCTTTAGCAACAGTGGCCATAAGTATTTGTATGTGTTCTATGTAATAAAGTATTGTGTGTGTGTGTTTGTGTATGTGCACTTTCTTCCCAGAAACTAATCAGGGTATGTGCACACCACTGTTGTCTGCATGGGACAAGGGGTTGAATGAAGAAGTTTTACAAATTGTTTTCTATGGAACCCTAAGCTCTGGAACAATTTGATGGGATTCCAAACTAAGTGCAAAAAGGGAAAGACATCACTCAAACACATTGAATTTCCTATCATGAGCTTTGCTTCTTGATTAGAAATTCCAGGAATTTCTTTAGAAAGAAAGAAATTCTGTGAAGTTCTGTGAAAAGGTTTGAAAATCCTGCACCAAAGTATCTCTGATTGATTGTGTCTAGAGCCTCTTTAGCCCTATTGCAAAAAGTTTACCACCTCACGTGGCTATCTGTTTCATGGCCTTACAGTTTATAAAATTAGGAAATTCTTCCTAATGTCTGGTTGAACCCACTTCCTTGCATTCTAATCCATTGGTTCTCATCCTGACCTTTGGAGCAATAGAGAATAACTCTATTCCCTCCTCTATATGACTACTCTTCAGACATTTGAAGACTACTTTACTCTACATTCATCAGCTGTGTATAGGTCAACATATCCAGATTCTCTAGCATTTCCTCATAAAGCTTTATTTCTAAATCCCTCATATCTTGTTAGCCTTTCTGCAAATTTAATTTGTCACTACTTTTCCTGAACTGTGGAGTCCAGAACATGACACAGTATTCAGGTAGGATATCTCTAGATGTGAAAATGTGTGCAGTGGGAAGGAAGGGATAGGCCACACACACCCTCTTCTGCATCATAGGACCAAAAGAAGGTGAAGGGCTGGCCAATATTCTGAGCTATTGTCCAACTACTTTTCAAAGTGAGATTCATTTGATTTTTTTCTGGAATCCTTGTCTCCACAACCCATCTTCCATCTCATCCTTTATCTGGCTAAATTCCCCCTGCTGTAGATTTGGTTTCATTCTCTTCCATTTACAGAGAATTATCCTGTTGACAAGACACAAAATTTTAACCTCTTTTACATAAAGAATAAAAAGGGTTAATCTATTTTCTTGGTATTTGTTGCCCTGTGTATGTTTGTATGTGCCACATACACATATACACACATGCTGTAGTTCGTGTGTGTGTGTGTGTGTGTGTGTGTGTGTGTGTGTGTGTGTGTGTATTTCAGACCTATAAATAGAATGTGATAGATTCTTTTGGCTGCCTCTTGCAAACAACTGCCTCTTTCAGTTGTCACATCATAAATGATTCCTCAATCAAACACCAATAGCAGATAAATTTAAATTAAACCTATTTTGTAATAAAAGTATATTTTATCAACTAACACATAAGGTTTTCATAATTCATTATCTCCAATCCAACAGAATATTGGGATCAAATTCTGCAAAGGAGACCAGTGTTGTATCTGTCTGTCCATCCTTCAGACAGTAGGATAACTGAAAACAGCACAGAACAGGACTTAAATATGAATAAATATAAATATCCCTCTTCGTTACAATGTTGTAATAGAATATGGTGTGCTATACCTCGGTAACATTAGCTTTTGGCTATCCTCAAAAAACCTCAGAGTCTAAGGTATTTCTGAAAGTCTTACATTGTATACGCCCTCTTCACATATTTCAGCAGTGTGCAAATTCCCTGCTGTTAGTTTAACATCATTTTTTCAAAGAGCCATGAGTATCCATTGAAGCTTTTTCCAAAATCTTCGAGTTAGACTGGACTCTTTCTAGTTGACCAGCAAAGGAACAAAGAAATCAGTATCCAATCTGCAACCCATTTCCCCATATTAATTTCCTCACACAGGTTTGTAGTAAAGAAAAGCAGATTTCTGGTATTGTTGCAAGAGCTCCAGAACCCTATAAAAGGGCACTATGTTGCTTTAGAGACATTGTAAATGGGTAGGAGATGACAAGGAACCTGAAATGGAACCTGATAGAAATACTTATGAATGAAAAAGCCACCTCCTAGCATTCTAGAACTCAATTTAAATTGCAATGATTCTCTTGATTACCCAATGTCAGTAACGTAACTTGGAAATAAAGATGTGCATTGCCACTACAGAAACAGGATCAAATCCTCAAAGGCCTTCTCCATCTCAGCGTACACGGATCCTGATTTAGATTAATCCACTGGGCACTAATTTTCCAGCAATAAAAAAATATGAAAGATCAGCTGCATAATGCATTTTTTAATAAAGTTCAATAAAGCTAAGCTAAGAAATTGCTCAGAAAAATGTTTTCTAGGGAATGGCAACCGTAGCAATATTTCTGAGATGCAAAACAACTCCCACAGTTTTGGAGATCTCCTTAACCACTCACAAAGAAAGGCAAAACATTTTGCCAGTAGTTGATCTGAACAGTTTAGTATGACAATAAAGAGTATCTTTGAACTTAGGGAATACCACCATATATTATTGATCTACATGAGAAATACACTTAACTTCATTCTGGATGTTAGAGAGGAATAGCAAAACCTGATAAACACTTATATTGCATATCAATGAGTGATGATTTCTGGAGACACAGCTGTACCATAGAATGTAAACTCTGGCCAGAATAAAATATTTTCAGTTGTTTTATTGACAGGTAAGTGTGCGTAGAATTGCAGGTTTGCTTTGTAGTTATTTTGATTACGACTCATTTTATTTATCAGTTATTTTTTTGAGAGCCACTGTATTCTTAATTTCTTCTTTATTGAAAGGAAAATGCATTATATGCATAATTCTAATCAAGAAGACAGAAAACAGAAGCCTCTAAAGCTTGCATTTAAACAATGACTTTAAAGCATATAAAATTAAAATATCTAAAATGGTATATTTAAAACTTCCAGATATATCTTTATTTACTTTAACATTTCTGCCTTATGTTGGTACACTTTATTTAATCTGAACTATATAAGTGATGACATCTAGATTCAATACCATAATTTGGTTCCGCCCCCAAAAAAGATTATTTCAAAAATGTAATTCATCTGGCTTTGAAAATGAAGAACCAGATTCAAATATAATAAAATATTCATTTGCTTATTTTTTCTTATTGTATTCTTTTCAGTATGAACAATTAACTGATAAATGAGACTTTACAATGTGTCTTGTTTTTTTAGCCTGAAACCTTTGAGCATCTCTTTCTCAAGCATCCTGAAGCATTGCCATTTGGTCCGCTACTTCTGGAATCAGAAATAGTATTGGAAGATATCAGTATTGATAAAGTAATGAAACATGAAGATAAACAAGAGTTACTAGCAGTTGACTCACTGTTTTCAACCATTCAGGACTTTGAGCATGACTCAATTTGCACTAGTGGTCTTTTCAATAGCGACAGCCTCTCTGAGAATGTCCATGATGCTGAAAAAGGAGGCATGTCAGAACAATGTAATGTAAAATATGCAACTATTATAAGTGGCTCCATGTCAAGTGGGCTTTATGAGCCTCCAAAGAATTCAAGTAGTCCTTTTGACAGAAGTTTTGTGAACCTTAAGTCCTCAGTTCCAGCTTCTTTCTCTAGCATTTCTTGGGCAGTAGGAAATCAAGCATTTTTGATATTACCTGAATATTTTCAAGACCTTCCCAGAAAAACTCACACTCTCTCTGTTATTTCCTCTGAAGGTTTCTCAGAATCTTCAGAACATGATAAAACTTTCACTGAAGGTGACAGTCCAGAGAGAAGTTTGTTCTACTTAGGCATGGGCCCACTCAAAAATAATGAAAATGATATATTTTTAACAGAAAATTCAAATGTGGCACCATGTAACTATCATACCAATACTATCATTAGAAGCATGAGGATTTCTCAAACTGACCTAAATTCTTTTATCTGTAACTGTGAGAGGCCCCTTCAAACCTTCATACCATATATGCCACAGTTTCAAACACTGACAGTTAAGATACATGAGACAGCTAGTAGAAAAGCTTAATTAATCCATATTTCTAATTTATTTTGATTATAATGTTGTATGTCCAACATGTTTTCTTCATGCAGAACATTTTGGCAAATTCTGTATTTTGCAAGTGAATAGCTAGATGTTCAAGTTGTGTTAATAATCCATATTATTTAATTCCCAAGCGTGCAATATTGTGTTTTCCTGAAGGAAAACAACTGGACAGTTTTAATATATGTTTGATTATCTGGAAAGACAAAGTAAATTCTTTCTTTCCAAATAAGAAGATCCTTTTTTCCATAGTTAACTTGCATTTGCGAGTAAACTGCCATTGTATTGTCAAATTTCTGCAACTAATTGGGTAATAATTGAGCTTCAGCGATATTTTCAGGATGATGTCTGTACTATTTTCTGAGTGAGCAATGAAAGCTTGAAATAACTAAACTTGTGCCAGCATGTCTTAAGTCTCTAACCTTGCAAGTTTAATATCAGTGTATCATTCTCTACTGCCATAGGAACCATTGTCAATCAATGGGCATGGCTACAATTATCCTATTGTATAGAGGGAAACTTTGTACAATACATGAATACTGACACAGGTCATATATTTATACAGCCCTTGAATATGCTCTTTATGAATGAAGCTGCATATGTTCATTCTTTGACACAGCATTTGTATCTCAAAGACTTTTATTGGCAAGAGAATGAACAGTATTGTTATCTTCAGAAACAAATTTAGAAAGTTGGCATGCTTTTATTAATGATTTGCATACAACAATGAACAGTATTTGTCCATGTACAGTTTTGTGACAACATCTAGACATTACCTAGGTAATTTTCCATCATAAATTTTGTTAGAAATATTTCTGATTTCAAATTAATTGTTCTAATTAAATTTTAACTGTTAAGTAAATGGTTTCTGAGTATTAGATGATGGACAAAGGAACTGAAAAAGAAGAGTTCTAATCTTGAATGCATTAAATTGCACATTTGTGGAATGTATTCTTTTTATAGATAAATACTGCTGAAAAATATTTGAAACAAATCAACTGTATATAAATGGTTAAAATGTGCTTGAATCAGCTTTAAAATTCAGCTGTCACACTGCTTTAAAAAGTATGATAGGAAAAACTGAATGTGGTCAAACTAAGATGAAGCAGAATATATCCATTCTGCAGTATATCTTACTTAACCGATTCTGCCTATACATAATTCACATAAATCCTTTAATTTTTACTTTTGGTTTTACCCAGGCCGGGTTGGAAAAACTCCCAAAAGAAGATTTAGTGGAGAAAATATTTTTGTTCACTTCTTTAGGTTTTACAGCTTGGAAAATCCAAATTCAAACATATTTTAAAGTTTTCTGTTCTATAATAATAATTAGAATAAGATTAGAATAAGATGAATTACATACAAAATGAACATTCCAAATTAAACAAGAACAACAATTATGAATTATTTAGTGTATGCTATGTGGAAATGATGGAGGAGGAGGAGGAGGAGGAGGAGGAGGAGGAGGAGGAGGAGGAGGAGGAGGAGGAGGAAAAATAATACTCAGATACATTTCTTAATGTTATGCAAACTCCTGCAGAGCTATCTCATTTCCTTTCTCAGCTAGTTTTAACCATCCAGTGCAAGCTTACTTTTACAAAGGTTGAACAGAGATTGCTATTATCTATAATAAATACATATTATCCATCCTGGAAAAGCTGTGTATCAATAGCCAGTGTCATGTATTTGAATGTATAAATATGTTTTTGATTATGTAATCTGGATAAATTTAGCTATATGCTATGTATTATGTCAAAGCAATTATTTGCTGAGTCTTTTGATTGTAATTGTATTATTTGCTAGTAGCACTTTAAATGTTCTGCTGTTGTCTCTGAATTCTTAATACTGTGCCTTATGATGTGTTTCTTTGCCAACTTCATTGTAATAGTTTGAAATCTAGCTTACAATAATACAGGCACCAGTTACTGAAATATACAGTACATATACCATGAAATTTATGGTATAACTTTTTATGCTATGATAAAACGGAATCCTATTTCTGTAAGATGTATAAACTATTCATTCAATTACAACCCAGTCTTCTGAGTATGTTCTCCTTCAATGTGCTTCTGAAATACTTAAAAATATTTAGATAAGCTTACAGTAGTTTTACAAGGAATCTGTTTATCAGAAAGATGCAATATAGCAAGCTAGATTGTCATAAGTGCAGTAGGAACTGGATAAATTAATGCTGGTTATATGAAATTGGCAAGCAATTTTTATTTAAATAAATTTTCTATGAGTGTCCATTGATCCTAAGAGCAATGTATTTGATCCAAAGGATAGGATAGTTTCAGTAATACGTTGCTGATTTATATTATTTACCTGCATTCTTCTTCAAATTTAGCCTAGATATCCATGGAACATAATACAGGGTGGTTCAGGAAAGTGCAGATATTGACTCTTTGTTATAGAAGTGAAATGTACTTCTCTATTACTGTTTTATATTTTTAACATCAGAGCAATACTATTAAATTCATAGAGGATAATCAATTAACTGTATTTAAATGGATATATGGAATAATAAAGTGATAGAGTCATACAAATGAAGGAAGCTGTTTAGTTTGTCCATCAGATATAGTCCTCTCCCCAGACCAAGAATCCAAATCACTGATTAATATCTATCTAATCTCTGCTGGAACTGGTGAAGAAATTGGTTCCAATGAAGAATTGTTCTTACTATTAGGAAGGTTTCCATAATATTCAGCTGGAATTTGTGTTCTTGTTAATTTTAATTCATATACTGCATTCTGGAATAAAGTAAACAAACCTTTGGGTATTGAAGAGTACTACCACATTCAGTTACATTTACTTAAAGCTGAATATACATACAATCTTTCTTTCCTTTCCCCTCAGACTTAATTTCTAGTTTCCTAAAGATACTTAATGTCATCATGGCACCCTGACATAAGACAAAACTTTTCTAGCTGACTGTACAGTCTATTGATAAATCACTTTGTTCTAATAGTGTTTATTCTAGCTTATGGAGCTTCCCAAAGCTTAAGCAAAAACCTTTCCCAGCCTTTAACTGATATCAATTTAGCCAAGGTACACTAGGGGTAAGATCTGAGAAAAATGTCCCACATGTTGAACAGAACACTGATATTTTCTCTCTGGCACTTAAAACACAAAACAACACTTCCGAGACCAGCAAGAAATAGGAAGAATGAAGGTGAGCTCATCAAATACAAACTCCCAAACTAAGAGTTATCCATAGATTTCTTAAAGGTAGACCACTGCAGCCTTTGTGCACAACCTTTCCTTACAAGATCTTGGTTGATTCTGCAAAAAACTAAGAGGAATGGATCTGCTAGCATTTGGTGAGGGACTGGATTGCTCAGTAACAAAAATTCCAGTCCCAATTTCCATAGTAATCTGAAGAATACCTGTAATAGGGCTTTAGACTGGAATGGTACATTGAAAAATATTCTGGAAAATAGCATTGAGAAGCCACCTCTAAATTCTCAGCAAGAAAAGCAGTTGTCTTCATGCAGCTCCCAGAATTCGGGCAAGATATGAAGGAAATATTATTCCTCTATTTCTACACTCTATTTCCACAAATAAATTCATATTATGTCATGGGTCCATTATTAGTTGCTAATGTTTTTCCCCCTTCTGTTCAACCATGTTTGATTTTGGAGGCTGTTTGGACAAGTCCCTGCAGCTTTCTTAGCAAAGTTTTTCAGAAATGGTTTGTCCTAGGATTGAGAGAGTGAGTGGCCCAAGATCACTGGCTAGTTTTGTGTCTAAGGTGGAGCTAGAATTCACAGATTCTTACTTTCTAGTCTGATTTCTTAACCAATATACCAGATCCGCTCTCAGCTAATGTTTAGGAAGACTGAATCACTAGTCTTTTCTTGCATATAATGCTTATTGATTTAACAGGGATACTGTTAGGTTAGAATATACTCCCCATCCCAGAAACGCACTTACATACAGTGTGTGTGTGTGTGTGTGTGTGTGTGTGTGTGTATCCTATTCACAGAAATTAATTAAAGAGCTCCATGCAGTAGTTGACCAATGTCTGATTAATTACATATTTATGTTTGGGAAAGAACCTTTGTGCAGATTAGTAAGCTAATGATCCTTGAACTTACTTTATAATAGCAAATAGCTTGGCTAATTTGAGTCAACAGGTGCTAATTTTTTTCATTGGGTACAGCACATTGATTTCACAACAAAACTAGTAAACTGATATTATTATTTTTACATGATACAAATAGACCAGATGCTGATAAAATGGTTCATACTCATTTTGGGCTATACTTACTTTGTCCAGCTTACCCAATATATTCTGATATTTACTGATTAATGCAATTAGAAATGATGGCAATATCATTGTCAATGGTATTCATGGAACAATAGCCATAGAAAGAAATATGTGAATAGTTTACCAGTCAGCTCCAATATTTCCTTTTATATTTAATCTCTGTTTTGCCATAGGCTTCATAATATAGAGAGGTTTCTATAATTTGATATCCTTCAGGTACATTGGAAATACTAACAGCTGAATTCCCAGCCGCATGTCCGTGCTAGTTGATAATATTGGAAATATAGAAAAGATTGATATTGATCACTACATTGATATGAGTATAATTTATAGAGCTTGCTCTTGTAAAGCTTGCTTTTTTGCTTGTCCATATCATGTTGTTTTGTTGCTAACTAAAAGTTGTTAATTAAATCTAGCTACTCTATTAAGTTGTAAAACTTTAAGCAGCAGAAACTCTGGGTTGTGTAGAAGGATTGAAATATGGAATATTTTTAACCAAATGATAAATACTGTAATGTTCTGTCCAAAGTTCATATAAAACAAAAATTAGGTTTATAGGATTGGAAAGATTAAGGACTGAAAAAATTGGTTGGTTTAAACACAGCTCTCCCTATAAATTTACTTTAAGCCCTGCTGAGTGCAGAAGAGATAGGTTTTTATGGTTTTGGTACTATAGTTGTCATGCTTGTGGAATGATATATCTAGATTATGCTTA